CCCGCCGCCGCCGCCCTGCTCGTCCTCCTGCTCGCCCCCGCCGTCGCCGCCGCCGCCCCCGCCGCCCTCCTCGTCCTCGTCCCCCAGCAGCGCAGCCAGGATCGCCCCCATGTGCCGCGCATCGGCCGCAGACACGCCGCCACGCCCGCGGCCGCCGCGGCCGCGGCCGCGCCCCCGGCCGCCCTCGGCCTCTGTGCTGATGGTGACGCCCTCCAGGACTGCTGCGTCGAGCCGCAGCTTCCGCTGCTGGATTGCATAGATGTCTGGGGGCCGGGGCGAGAGAGAGGGGCGCCGAGGGGTTGGGGTCAAGCCGGCGGTGGTGGGTGCAGGAGAGGAACGCCGGCGGTTGCGGAAAGGGCGGCACAACTGGACGGCTGGCAAGCAAGGCACGCTGACGCATTCAGCGAGCAGGCATCGGCCCGCTCGTGCCCAAGGGTGGTTGCAGGTACTGGGACGTCTGGCAATCAGCGCGCCAGCATGCCCAGTGCGTGCAGTCAGAGGCCGCTCCTCCCGTCTCAACCCAAGCGCATCGGGCCAGGGGCGGCGGCGGCCCCTCGGGCCGCTTTCTTCCGCGGGCCGCACCCGCGTCAACGGTGTTGTTGCAGACGAGGCGGTACACCGTGACCTTGCGCGTCTGCCCCAGGCGGTGGCAGCGGTCCTCCGCCTGGCGGTCGACCTGTGTGCGTGTGTGTGTGTGTGCGCGTGCGTGCGTGCGTGCGTGTGTGTGTGTGTGTGTGTGTGTGTGTGTGTGTGTGTGTGTTGCAGAGGGCTAGGACAGCTGAAAGCAGTTGAGGGCCTCCTTAGGCTGTGTTCAGACCAGGAACACCTCACTAGCCAGGCAGGACCCTGACACCCACAGGCAGCTCGCTGGAAAGGTGCCGCTGTGCGACTGCTGCTGTGCACCTGCTGCTGCTGTCTCAAGCGCCCGGCCACCCCGTCGCTGACGCTGCGCCGCGTTGCCACTGCCCATGACAACCTCCCTGTCGCATCATCATGACATCATCGTCACCCAGCGCTTCCTGGACGTGGCCCTGCCCATATCCAGCGTCATGCTGGTGCACAACGGCAACAATCGCGCGCTGCAGCGGCTGCAGGGCCTCGCGCCCCGCGTGCACATCGTGGCGCTCGCGCCGCACGTGGCCTCGTCGGCGCGGGCAAACCTCACGCTCGACGTCGGCTGGGCCATGGCCACGCTGCAGTTCCAGCCCAAGGCGCGTGGCTGCGCACGCCTAGAGGTTGGGGGTTGAGGGACGACGGCAGAGAGGGGCGTTGGGAGGGGCCTTTCTGCAACGCGTGGCTGCTCTTATTGAGTCTTTATTCCCTCCCCGCCGCCCGCCGCGCAGGGGTCATGCACGCTGTCCAGCCTCAACGCCATCAGCTGCCTCCACGGCTTCGCCATCCAGGGCAACTTCGAGCCGCAGCGCCGCAACTACGCGCGCGTCTGGGAGCTGCTGCGCGTCCACGTCGCGCGAGGCCACCTGCCGACCAAGCCGCCGGCGCCGCCGCTGCACCTGCACCTGGTGGGGCGGGGCAGCGTGGACAACCTCAACCTGCCGGAGGGCGTCAAGTCGCTGACCACGGTGCACTTCAACCAGCGGTACCCGGAATACTATGAGCAGGTGGGGTGCAGGGGTGTGTGTAGGTGTTTTTGTGTGTTTGTGTGTGTGTGTGTGCGCGCATGTGTGTGTGCAAGTGTGTGTTCGTGTGTGTGTGTGTGTGTGTGTGCGCGTGTGTGTGTGTGTGTGTGTGTGTGTGTGTGGGTGCGTGTGCGTTTGCGCGCGTGCGTGTGTGTGTGTGGGTGGGTGGGTGCGCGCGCGTGCATACACACTTGTGCCTGCATTTCCTGGGATGTCAATCATTTGGGAATGTGCACTCCTGTGCGCGTGCGCGTGTGCGCCCAATGAACGCATGTTTGGCACTTGAGGGTCAGTTGGCTAGAGGGTGGCTTGACGTCACAGCCAGCCGGCGGCTCGTTGTCACATACTGCCGGCTGCCGCCACCCCATAAGTCTGCTAGTGCGCCCCGTGCACACTTCTTCCCCTCCCCATCCCGCCCTCCTGCCCTGCCGGCGCTGCGCCGCCCAGATTCACCACACGCACGCGCTGCTGCTGGTGCTGGGGTCCCCCGCGTACCTCACCTCCAAGATGAGCTCCACGGTGGTGTCGTCCCTCACCACGGGCGTCCCCGTCATCGCTGACGAGGCGGTGCTGAGGGCCTACTCCTTCCTGGGCCACGAGGACGTGTTCCTCATGCACAAGGGGGAGGACGAGGTCGACGCCATGCTCAGGGTGAGGGGCGGCCTGCAAGGGCCTGGGCGGGGGCCAGGAGATGTGAAGGGGGTTTGGCGAGCCCGGCTCCCGGGGTGGGCCAAGACGCGGCAGCACGCTGTGGGCTGGGTAGTGGCGCCTCGCGCGGCGCCGGCGATGCGCTTCGGGTACGCATGGGCTCCCTGAGCCTCTGGCAGAGGGCCGGGCTGCCGCAGTCGCTGGCGCGCAGTGAGCAGCCCACCTGGCTCTAGTGATGTCCGCCCGCCCAGGCAGCCTCGACAGCACCTCGCAACCCCGCCGCCCCACCCCGCCTTGCTTGCCCCTCTTTCGCGCGCTAGGTGCTGCGCAAGAGCCCCGCCGAGATCTACCACGTGCACTCGCGCGTCCGCCAGCTCGCCACGTCGCTCAACGCGCGCACCGCCAAGATGCTGCGGGAGCGCTGGATGCCGCTGCAGAGCGAGGTCAAGAACCGCCACGCGGCCCTGCGCGTCGCCTTTTCCGAGCAGTAGGCAGCAGGCGTGGCGGCGCCCGCCTGCGTGCCCCTCGGCACGCCGCGGCGACTACTGTCTTGGCGCCGTGGACAAGCGCGTCGTCGCGGCTTTGCAGCAAACTCGCACGCGCATTGGGCTGCCAACGCCCCTGCCTGCGCGTCGCGTGTCAAGGTGGAGCTTGGACGCTTTTGGCGCAGCTGTCGGATGCGCGGGGAGGCGGCTACGTTTCCTTCGTCTTGCTGCGCCGCCCCTGGCGGGCTTGCGGCTGTCCTTCCTTGGCACACCGCTGCTCGCACCCCCACGCTGGCCCCACCCCAATAAACTTTGTGGTCCTACTCGTTTTGTTGAGTTCTCAGTTGCATCCAGCAGCGCTGGTGAGGAGGCTTGCCACGCGGCGTGCGCAACACAAGCAACGTTCTGCTTGTGGCGTCGGGCAGGAGATCAGCCGCACCAGGATTGCCTCTCGCATGTGTGACCTGCTTTTGCACCAAATCCGCTTCCTGCAATTCCGTCAATGTGATTAGAGCCTGTTATGGCGAGCCCCTTTTTCAGGTAAGCCGTGCATACACAGCTTGCGCAACCACGTCTTGGCCTAGGCAATTTTTTGCAGGAGGCCCCACCCCCACAAGAGGCTGAAATTAGACCAACACTTGGCGCTTTACACCCCGCGATTTTAACTTAGAAAGCATCACGACACCCTGCACACGCGGGTGCCCCGGGAAGCGCCCTGGGGCTTGGGACCACGCACTCTTGCAATTTGCGCTCATCGCGCGCACCGCAGTAATTGCTGCAAGCGATCAGCTATCCATGACGGAGGCCAATAGGCGCCTCTGGGCAACCCATCACGGGGCTGTGCAAAGCATACCGTATCACTGGACATAGGCTTGCGGCCACAGCGGTCGGATGCGACGCAAGAGGCCCGGTCTACTCCCAAGTATCACACCGCTGGCTTGGTTGGCAGCTGGGTCGGTGGGCCGTGGCTGTTTGACGTCCCGTAACCGTCGGGTGAAGCTCGCAGGTCATCAGCCAAAGATGATCTGGCTTGTGCCGCCTGGGGGCGCAACCACGCGGCTGGAGTTCTTGTCTGTCAAAAAGTTGCCGACATTCTGGCCTGCATCGAGAGAGCAGAGGACACCGTGCGGCCGGGTGGCACGTGCAAAGCCGTGGTTGAGCTCGTAGGTTGCACAGGCTGACGGCTCTTGCATGTCACCTTGGATTAGCGCACAATACAGCAGAGTCCGTCCCAGCCGAAGGCCGCTTCTCCTCACCGCTGGGGCGCGCGTAGTTGTTGTTGGCCCTGGACTCGGAGCCCACGCTCAGCGCTCCGGGCGGCGGGCCCGGCCTCCCCGCGGGCAGGCCGGCGATCGCCGCCGGCGACAGCGGCGCAGCCTGCTTGCTCCGTGGCGAGGGCGCATTCTCAGCGGCGGCGGAGGACGCGTCGCCGAAGACAATGCTTGTGGCGCCGCCGGGGGGCGCGAGGACGCGGCTGCTGTTCCTGTCAGTCATAAAGTTGCCGACGTTCTGGCCTACAAGGGGGTGGGCAAGGGGCTCCATTCAGTGGTGGGGCGGCTCTCTTGCCCGCCATGCATGCTTCTAGAACCCAGCAGCCACCCTGCTATGCACCCACTCTCTGGAAAATACATCGCCGCACCCACCAACTACCTGATGGGCGTGAATAGTTGTTCTTGGCAAAGCCCTGCGCGACGTCGGCTGAGTTGGTGCCAGCAACTGTGTTGATGACAAGGTCTTCCCCGGTCTCATTCTTCATGGAGCTGCAGAGGTGGGTGAATACATGAACAGTAATCACATCCATGAGTAAGGCGGGCGCTGATTGTGTACAAGGGCGGAATCGCACCGCAACGCCACAGCATGGTGATCTGGGCTGTGTGCACGGCGCACCCGCTGGCCAGAGCAAAGACGCCCCCTCCTGCCCCCGATGCACTTACAAATCCCCTGTTTCGAGCATGTGCTCCCTGACGCGCTCGGCCAGCTGCTCCTTGCCGCCCGCGGGGCTGATGCCGCGCGCCCTGCACTGGATGCGCAGGTCCTTCAGCAGCACCTGCTTCACAGCCCTGTCAATCTCCTCCGGGCTCATGGCTGCGCGCACGCGCATGCATGGAGCCAGGGAGTGCTTGATGTTGGGAAAAGCCCGCCAAGCATGTGTTTTTTGCCCTCGGCCCATTCGCAAAGCGCGAAAACCCCAATATTCCGTAGTACGATCCAAACCAGCTCATAGTCACCCGCATGGGCGCACCTGTTGCAACCTTCGTTCGAATTCAGGGGCGGGTGGCCAGAAGCACGGTCTACGTGGCTTGAAGAAAGATGTTGGAAGAAGCTGATGTTATTGTGGTCAAGCGATTGTAGACGTGCACTTGTAGCTGCAGGGCCATCCCTTTGGCGGCCCGCACCTGCTTCCCTGCTGCCCCCTGGGCAGCTGCTGCCGTTTCGCGTTCAAGTGCGCGGGTCAGCAGCTACTCATACTGTCACTTCGCTGCACGCGCCAAAGCCTGTGAGGCAATACAGGCATAGGCAGCTTTCATTTTGCCTCTAGTGCGGTTTGAACCCTTGGATCCGAACTATGATGGGCACAGTACGGTAGTGCATTCTGCACTGAAGCACATTCGTGCAATGCAACAAGCCACCACACAGGTATATGCGTTCGCCGTTGCTGGGACAATTCGCCCTTTCACAGCATGAACCAATGCACGAGTCCTGTCCCTTGTTGTCCCGTGGCGTCTGCCCACCCCCTTCCATCACCAGTCATATGCTGGTGATGTGGAGGCCATTTATTAATGTTGCACAGCAGTGTTGGATGAGCATAGCTTTGACACTCGAAAAATCTTCTGACCTTTGGGTTATGGGTTTTGTCTGCCGGGCTGTCAACTTTGGTGCGCCTCTTTGTTGGGCGGGTTTGAGCGCCCGGCGACAAAGCGGCAGGCAAACGGATCTTCACAACCTTGTCATATCGATGCCGAAATGCATTGCCCCGCCTCTGTGTATGTGGCACGGCCAAATCGCACCTCAATGAAGCATGGAGGGGCACCGCAGTGCCCTTCACGCCTGTTGGGCCAGGCACGATTGCAGGGCACTTCTCGCTAGCTGCACCCGCAGGCACGCGCAAGGGCATGTCTGATCAAGGCATTCGAGCAGGCCACCAGCAGGAAACGAGAGCCTTACAGTATGTGATTTCGACAATATGGATGTGTTCCGCCAGTCCTCTGCCTGCTGCCGGTACGTGCAGAATGATGGCGGGGACGCTGTAGGTGCCTGCGTTTTTCAGGCCTCGTTTTTGTGCTGGTGTCAGGATGGAGCACTTCAAGGCGCAGTGGTGCACCACCCCATCCTCCTTGCAGTTTTTTGCTGACCCCACGTCTGCGCACTTGATTTGGCCGCCCATGAAGGGATCCGGAATCGTGGGAAAGATGACGTAAAAAGCGTTCATGTCGGGCGTCTCGACAATGATTGTTGCAGGCTGCATGCACGGCAGGATTGCTTCTAGCACGGGAGGAGAGAACGTGCATATGATTGAACTTCCGATTGGTCGGAAGTGGTGCAGCACATTCATCTGCCAAGCGGCGGTTGTTGCTTGAACACAGCAAGTCGTGCCGTGTCACATAACGTGGGTATCCGCCGCCGTAGGGCTACAATGCGGGCTCCCAACGCCAGCAACAGCGCTCACGGCAAAACCATGGGCTTGCGCCTGACACAAACACGCGCCATGCCTTCAAGCCCCTCAGGCCTGTAGCACGCAGTGGTGGGCTTTGCGGGGTGCTTTGCACCTGGACTCTTTCATCAAGCCCGTCGTAAGCTGACCTGAGTGAAGTTGTGTTGGGCGGGTGTTGCGGCCATACTGCTGGCGGCCCCACAAAGGTGTTTCGCCTTGTAAGCACAGAATAAGAGAAGACCCAGGCTGATTGCAAAGCACAATGTAATGTAGGCGACGTTGAAAGTGCACTTGATGACGAAACGCCGACTGACGGCAGCATTGAGGTCCATGGCCGTGAAACAACGTGACATTGGTTACCTCATTACCCCACACAATGCTGGTTGCTGCGTTGAACGTTGGAGGTAAGGCAGGCCCTTACATCAGGGCAGGCAGGAGAATGCTGGCTGGCTGCGGTCGCAGCACGCAGGCATACGTAGCATTTTTGCAGCAGCACATGGGCGCCCGCCGCACGGAAGGGGCTGCTGACTGGCTGACGGACTGGCTGTTGGTACTGTCCAGAAGCCTCCAGGCGTCCGAACGCGTGATAAAACGCAAGCATACCTGAGTTATCAGGATATTTTGTTAAAAATCATGATGGATGTCGCGCCGCGGTCGATTTCCGCGCTCCTCTCTAGCTGCAACACTGAGCATTCACTGACTGTAAGTGTGCAGCCACAAATTGTCTGCAGGAGTAGACGTGATCCGATGTTTTGTACGCGTTATGGGACTACGGCGTGCACGCTGTTGGGATGCAACGTGCGGGTGACACACGCCTGCGGTGCATCAGTCATGCTGGCTAACAACAAGAAGTACAGATATCAAAGAGATCTTGGTTGATTGAGACGAAAATTCGTCGTATCAAGCATGCATTGACGAGGGTTTGTTTACCGTGGGGCGCCCAGCGAGAGCGGTCACCACTACAGACACCGCTCACAGATGTAGCAAGCAGCAGTGTGCTCAAAGGGACTGGGGTAACCCCGCCCATACCCGTTCCACCGGTACCCCTCGATACACTGAATCACCTGCGCGGTACGGTAGGTGGCAGGCCGACCGGGGCAGCTCGAGAAAAGTCTCAACTAGCGAAGACGTACATGCCGGGTTGATGCTGCTGGCCTGGCTGATGTGGCTACTGCACAAGGTTTAGCCTGCGTATTTGGACCGGCAATGCGCGTCAACTTGATAACACGCATGGACCCCCAGAACCCCTCCCTGCCTCACCTGGCGTGCTGTGATCTTGTTAGATGGCGCGCTGATGTTGGGCGGATAATCACCCTCCAACAGATCCGAAAAACCTGCGCGCCGCAGTGCGCAGAGAAGATAGGTGCGCCCTTGCCCTGCGCATGCCGTCGCGCAGATCGCAGACCGACGCCCTGGCGACGCGCCCGCGGCGTGGGCTGGCACGCAGCTGCCAAAGGAGATGCTGGGCTGGGAGGCCAAGCTGACAAGACACGACTGCTGCTCCTCGCAGTGGAAATGTGTCCACAAGCATCCACACGGGTGCGTGGCAGCGGTACCGTTGCCGTACGTCTTATGCTGCTGCGATGCGCTTCCTTTGCATTCCGTTATGCCCAGCACGCCATCGTCGTCTGTTTCAGCGGCGCTGCTTGCAGCAATTGCCACTCCGCTTGATTTCTCAGCCGCCGTATGCCCACCATTGTCTGTGCCTGCAGGTATGCATGAGAGGCCAAACAAGCCGCTGGTGTGATGCTGGCTGCAGCAATAAGAAGCAGCCTCATCTCGTGGCTGGGCGTGCCCACTTGCTCGTGTTCCGCAGCATAGAAACATGAGTGCCAAGGCTATGGCACCTCTTGTCGCGTGTGTCTCTGGTTCCAAGTTTTACCTGGTGTCAAGGGAAGAGAAATCGGTGGAGGTATGGTATGAACGCAACATGAGATGGAGAGTTGGCTGGATGTTAACATTATGTAAGGGTTTCGCCATCCCCTGCACTGCGCCACTCCGCGACGGCATCTCTGCAGTACAGCACACGCAATCACGCTGCCTGGGGGAGCTTGATGGAGCATGACATACGATTTATACAAGGGCAAATCTCTTGTGACTTGCGACTCTCTGGCTCATTGTTGTATGCATATGCTCTGGGCTCATAAGCACATGAGCCCAGAGCGTGCGCAGTCGGTGGAGTCGACATCGCAAGCGCAGCGGCGGCCGGTGACCCCTTGCAGTTACTGTAAGGGGGTGCTTTTTGCTGCTGCAGCACTCCCTTGCGGCGCGTCGCAGACGTCCTGCACATACATTCATATATACTGATTGATGCCGTCCGTCTCATCAAAGAAAGCTGAGCACAGCGTGTCTTGTCGCTAGCCGAACGCCCTTGCAGGGCTTCGTAAGCTAGACACCGTAGAAGCTCAACCTGACAAATATCACATTACACAGTATGCAAACTCTTGGAAGAATGCGGCAGGGAGCAGCCTCCCTGCCGAGATCAGTGCTGCCACGACCTGCAGTGCGCATGAGTGCAGTCCATCCCAAGCATAGGCAGCTCTTGCAATGGTGAGGAATACAATGAGACTGAAGCTGTCGCGTGTCTCGCTGCCTTGGACGTCACTGACCGCGTCCATCGTTACACAGGCGCCGGCTGTCCACGAACGACGCCGCTCCACAGCCTGTGATTGACCCCATGACTGCAACAATCGATGAGGTGGGCCGTTGCGCACCAGCGCATCGATCGCACGCCCCCACCGCCGGTCCGCTGGCCGCCAACAAAGTCAGCGGCTCCCGAGCGCCGCGGCGCGACCCTAGCACCGCACCGAAGGCAGCCCCTCGCCCGCGCCGCGACTGCAGGACAGCAAGTCCACTCGGAAGATGCGCGAGGAGATGCTCAGGCCGCTGCGGACGGCGCTGACGGAGGCGATCATGAGGCATACCAAGGCGACAGGCGTTCGCGAGGCGCTCGAGGCCGAGGTGAGGAGCGCGGGGCCGCGCCCTGCCCCGGCAATAGCGCGCCGCTGGCTGCGGCCCCGCGCTCCTCACCTCGGCCTCGAGCGGCTGCGCTCCACACCATGCGCGCACAGCAGCAGCGGCCGCCAGCTCTCCGGCGGCCGCTGAGCCAGCGCCCGCCCGCACACCCGCGCAGCCGCCTCGTTGCGCCGCGGCCGAACGGCAGCCCGCCCCCGCCCGCCACCGCCTCGGCTCAACCGTCGCCGCCACCGCCGCCGCCGCGTGCACTGCGTGCGTGCGTGCGTGCACGCTCTTGCTCCCGCGTCAGGTTTGTGTGCTGTTCGACCGGGCCATCCAAGCGGAGGGCGGCGCGGACGTGAACGTGGAGGATGTGGCGGCGGCAGCGATGCAGGCGGTGGGGGGCGCGCTCAAGGACGAGGTCGAGGCGGCGGCCGTGGTGGAAGCCACCAAGCAGGCGCTCGCGGCGACCCTCAAGTCGCTGCAGGCGCTGAGCCCGGAGCCCGCGGACTTTGAGAGCGACGCGCGCGTGGAGGAGGAGGTCGCCGCCGCCGTCGCCGACGCGACGGCGAGCGTCGACGGCACCGATGGGGGCACGCCCGGCGCGGCGACGCTGGCGAGCGTGGACGGCGTGGCCATGCGGTCGCTGTCTGAGTCGATGCAGCGCGTGGATGCGCTGCTCGGGTCCGACAGCGCCGCCGCCTCGTCCGACGCCGCGCCCGGCGACGCGCCCAGGGCGCCGCCCGCCCCCAGCCCCGCCGCCGTCGCCGCCGCCGCCAAGGCGGCGGCCGACGCGAAGCAGCGCAACCGCTGGGTGGTCGTCGGGCTCGTGGCCGCGGTCGCGTTCGCCGCGTCGGCTTTCATCAAGTCGCCGCTCGGCGCGTCGGCGGTCGCGGCGCTGCAGTCGCTGGCGCAGCCGCTGCTGGACAAGCTGGGGCCGATCCACGTCGGGGACGCGGAGCGCGGGCTGCTGGAGACGATCTACCTGTTGCTGACCAGCATAGTGTGCGTGCCGGCGGTCTGCAAGCTCATCCCCGGCGGCAGCCCGGTGCTGGGTTACCTGGTGAGCGGTCCCTCGGTGTGCGGCTCGCTGTGGGGTGGGGCGGGGCGGCCGGAGACGCATCGGCGGCGCGGGGCTTGCTGGCTACAGTCGGTGGACGGGAGCGGGCATGTCACGGGCGCGGGGGGGCAGGGCCAGATGCTGCCAGACTTCTGCAGAGCTCTTCTGGGCTGGCTGGTCCCGTTGGTAGTCCTGCCGACGCGTCGCTGCCGCTGCCGCGCGTAGATCGGGGGTGCCCTGGTGGGGCCTCACGCCCTCAACATCATCTCAGACGTCCACCAGGTGGGCACTGTGCGGGGCGGACACACAGGGGGGGAGGGGATGTGATGCACAGTTGCGTGTGAGTGTGGGTGGTGGTGGCGGGCGACGCGGACGCGGCGCAGCCGTAGTCAGTGCCGCGGGCTCCGCCGCAGCACACAAACACCCGCGCACGATCCCTGCGGCAAGGCTGAGCGAATTCCTGCTTGTCACGCCGACACACCGTTTCCATGCCGTGCACATCGTAATCAGCCCACCCCAACACCCACCTACTCTCAAGCACTCACCCAC